GCTGTAGGATAGGCTTGGAGACCAAGGTGGAAGCTATTGTCTCCACAGCTCTCAGGAGTGAACTGTCATAGACTTTCTGGAAGACATTGGCTGGAGACCCAGGTAATGCTGCTGGATTTGTTGTTTCTCTTCTGCTGAAGAGGAGAGTGAATTTCCCCTTAAGCCAAGTGGTCTCGTGCTGTGCCAGGTAGCAGCTGAGTCGTGAGGAAAGCAATTTATGTGAGACCATCCATTTAAATGCAAGGGCTTCACATCAGTCCTCCTCCTTGGAACAATTTCTGTTTCTCATGTTTTTGTCCTCTTCAGCCTGTCCTTGCAATAAAGGCAGTTCAGGCCTCCTACCTTTGAATGGGGAATCTGCTTCTGGCACAGGTGGAGGCAGCAGTCCCAGGTCTTTGGGAGGACAGAGCTGTCAGCAGCTTGGAGGATGGGTAGGATAACAAGGGAGGGAGGAGGAGTGCCAGTGGTGCTTGGATGCAGAATGCCTGCAGTTGACAGTGAGCATGTGAGCAGCCCTGTAAAGTCGAGTAGTTATAGACAATGATTTTTGTGGCCAAAGTGAAAGCGGGAGTATAGGCACAGGGTGCTGGGACTGGATTGGGCTCCCCCTGGCTGGTTTGGAGGGCTGTCACCGAGACCTCAGGAACATAAAAGGCCTCCCTCTCTTCACCTGAGCTCTGTGTGAGTACGAGGAGTGTTCGGTACTGGTTCTCCCCTCAGATATGCAGCAGCATGAGTGCGCCATGAGCTGGAAGGCACATGATGGGGAAGTCTACTCCGTTGAGTTCAGCTATGATGAGAACACAGTCTACAGCATAGGCGAGGATGGCAAGGTAGGCTATGGATGACCTCCTGCTGGTCAACTGGCAGAGAGATCACTTCTGGAGTCTTCTCCATATGGTGGAAACAATTGTAAAAATACTCTCAGATTCTGGATGAAATGTGGGCTGCTAACTGCAATCTTAGGTGTGCAGTACCACTGTGCTCCATACAATCTGCAGAGAGAGTGGCTGAAAAATGTGTCAATAGTTGGAGCTGTCTTGGACCTTGTGTGCGAATCCTACTGTTTGTGACATCCCTTTCCTAGATAGTCCATGTAAGGATCACCTTTCTCTGCCTCTGAGATCACCGTATTTGAGATCTGGAATTCACAGGGAAGCACATCCTTGACCACTTTGCATAAATCTTGTCAGCAGTTCCCTTTTGTTTATCATAAACACTTCAATTTCTGCAGTTCCTCAGTTTTCAGCAGTAGAAGTGTGGCTCAGGGAGAGACCTTGGCTGAGGAGTTAAGCAAGTTCTCACCAGCATACTGCATGCCGTATGGAAGGACACATAGGTAGTAGTGCTTGAGGAAGGTAGGGCATATCTTAGTCTGGATAGAAGGCACTCTTACAGCCTTTGCAGCCTGTGTTTTATTAATATAGCCACTTAGATATAGATGTTAAAATGCCATCTTCTGTTTGTGAGGAATACCCACTTTTTTGCTTAAAAGGAAGAAAAGACAACTCTACTTGCATCCCAGTTAATTTCATTTTAGGCTTTTGTCATCTCTTTTTCTCATTCTAGTTTATTCAGTGGAATATCCATAAAAGTGGATTGAAGGTGTCTGAGTATGACCTTCCCAGGGAAGCTACAGGTCCTTTTATTCTGTCTGGGTACAGTGGCTACAAGCAAGTCCAGTTCCCACGAGGACGGCTTTTTGCTTTTGACTCTGAGGGCAATTACATGTTGACATGTTCTTCTACTGGGGGAGTAATTTTTAAGGTAAGTCTGAGAAGTGGTGGGGAGTACTCTTAAGTATCCATACGGCTCCTGTTGATTACAAGGGTGCAACAGCAGCCTCTGGAAGTTCTTAAGCAGCAGCTACCCATCCTTGCTCTGTCAAAGTTACTGCTCAGTTTCACACTGTGCATTTTAGCAGTGTGTGGTGTACAGCAAGTGTTTGGGTCCTATAGCAGGAGTGTTTGTGCTCCTTCTTAAAGCTTAGTTTTTAGTGTCCAAGTGCCTTGGATAATGTTTTAATTAGTTTTCTAATATATGGATGCATGCCAGTTCAATGTAAAATGTATGATTGTTGACTGGTGCTCATGTTCAGTCTGCCTTCTGTACCTGCTGATTCTCTGTTAGACCCAGCCTGATTCTCTTCCCTTACTCTGTACTAAAATCAAACAAAGGGTAAGGCTCAATCGTTCTGAGTGCCCAAATTTCTGTGCTTCAGTAACAAGTGTTACTGATCACATGTCCATGTTTTTGCAAGGCAGGTTAGATGGAATTTTTACTTTGCATCTGGGGCACTGTAGAGCACCTGAACTAAGATGAGCTATAGCTTAGGCTTATGTGCTTCTCGTCAGTGTATGCTCTTAGCCTGTCTTGTTCAATTACTGCAGTTCAGCTGATGTCAAAAGTTGAGCTGCTTGAGAACACGTGCTTCTGTAGTGAGACTGGAAGCTCCCTTTCTTGTCTGTGCTACACACATCTCAGTATCTCTCTGATTTTCTGCTTACTTATGCATGCTCTTAGAGATACAGAGTCTTTATCAGGCTTTGGCTTGTCTTGTTGGGTGCATTGCCCCCGCTGCAGAAACATACTTCCTTAAAGTCTTACGCTTTCCTTCTTTTTAGTTAAATGGTGAGGAAAAGGTTCTGGAGAGCTGCCTTTCCCTGGGAGGACACCGAGCTCCTGTTGTCACAGTGGATTGGAGCACAGCCATGGACTGCGGGACCTGCCTCACTGCTTCTATGGATGGGAAAATTAAATTAACAACCTTACTGGCTCAAAAGTCTTAACCTGGACACTACTGAAGGGGGAAAGCGCAATAGACTTGACAAAACCAGTGTTAACTCACAGGAACAAACTGCATGGGAGAGAAGGCAAAGCAAAGTCCCTCTTCTCATTGTAGCTTTTGCCTCTTGATAAATATGTTTGCCAAACCACTGTGCAACAGAATGCCAGTATGGAACTGGATCAGTGGCAGCACTGAAAAATAAGTCTCCACTAATCCATTGTGGCAGCTGGACTTCCCTCTGTTAGGGAGTCTTGAGTAGCACGTGGCTAAAAGGTTGTGGTCACGTCGGGGTTCTGCAGAAGAAGGTGAGGCTGGAGGAAGCAAGCATGAGGCAGCACAGTGCATGATGACTCAAACTGGAAAGGCTGATAAGAAACCAGAGTGCTCTTTGGGTGTAACATTTGTTGTTATGATTTTGTTAGTTTGTTTTTATTTGTTTTTTCCATAAAAAGAAAATATTCCCTTGCATTTGAATTCTATGCTTTGTTCAACAGTTGCTGCAAAACATGGAGGGTGGTGAGAGCAGTGATATGCCAAGTCTCCTGCATGCAAAAAAGCCCTTATGTTTTCACCAGGTGCTTCCAGCACTAGACATACACATTAGGGTGAACCAGACATCCAGGAACAAAAACAACTGCATTTGCTTGGATGTATTGTGTTACCTTGCCATAGGTATCTGCTACCAGCCAGAGCAGAAATCCTGAATCAGTCTTTGAAATACTTGTGCTGGAGTTCAGAAGCTACATAACGTCTAGCAGCTACCTGATGGTGGAGAGGGGGAGGGAGGCCAAGACCAGTCTGGCCCTGTATAGGGCTCTCTTGTCACTGGAGCTGTTTCTCCCCCTAAGGCCCCCAACATCAGGGCAAGTGCTGTGCTCAGGTATTGCATAGTCTTTGAATGGACTCAGCAGATACATTTCATCTGCTTATACATTGCCATGGAGCTTTCTGCTGCTTACGTCCTTGGCCTGTTTTGGGAGCTTATGGTACTGTTGTTCCTTGGCAGAGCATACACTGCTGGAAAATGAACAGCCATTCATGAGCCATATGGATAGCCATCCTCATGGACAGCTGTTCAAGGGCAACACTGCTGGATGCTGAAATCCTCACTACAGGCTTATTCATGCTACAGGTACCTGTTGTCCATGGAGCAACTTGCTCCTGCTGACTACACTCACGTAACCCCACCTTCCGTGTCAAGGGCCTCCAAGATTAACAGGTCCTGTGCCAGATTGACATCTAAGTACAGGGTTTCCACCTCAATGCTGTGTGATACTGATGGTGCAGCTCCTCTTCATGCCAGTGTGAGCTAATGTCTCCTCAAATCCAGTGCTGACTTCAAACTGGCTTCAGGAACTCCCAGGGTTAGTCCAAGAGTTGAGAGAGGTCTCAAATGACAGCCCTTGTCGGCCTCTCAAAAGACCAAGAGAGATTGTTGTACTCCAAGTCCTGCAGGGTTGACTACATTGCACAGTTGTTTAAGAATTTAGAATTACAAAATTATAGAATGGTCTGGGTTGAAAGGGACCTAAACCTCTTCTATTTCCAACTCTCTGCCATGGGCATGGCTACCTTCCACTAGACCAGGTTTTCCAAAGCCTCATTCAGCGTGGCCTTGAACACTACCACCACGGATGTTACTTTCTTCCAGATGATATCTTCCAGCCCTCACAGAGGGTCAGCTGAGATTTCTGGAGAGAAACTGCTCTCAGGTTTACATCACAAGTAGGACTAAAAGCAAAACAAAAACTGCCAAAGAGGGAAAGAAAGTTTAAAAACACGTGCCAGCCCAAAGCTGCTTTCCAAAATGATGCATTAACACAACATTGATACTGTGCAAAAAGCCTGGAGAGAAGGAATGAAGACGTTGTTTTGCTAGAACAATGCTCAACATGCTCCATTCCCGGAGGAGCCTTTATTCTATCCCTGGCCTCGCTTCCCGGCACTATCCCCCGCTCCAGCGGAGCGGCACAGCCGGGGCCGCGGGGCGGCACCGCGGGCCCGTCCCGGAGCGCTCGGGGGCGGCGCCGGGCGGCCTCGCGTCGTTCCAAACGTGCCGTCTGCTCGGCAGCTGGCCCTGAGCCATGTTTACTTCTTGACGGAATATCGAGGGACTCCCGGCCTCACTGACATCCCGCCTGCCAGATCAAACACGAGGCTCTGTCGTGACTTGGATTTTAGGGCGGCCCCGGCGGCCCCGCCCAGCGCGGCCATGGCGGCGGGAGAGCGGCGGCGGCAGCTCCCGGCCTGGATGGGAGCGGCGGGGGACGAGCGGGCGGCGGCGGCCCCGGCCCCCAAGGCCGTGCGGCGGCGGGCGGCGGCGGGGCGCAGGTAGCGCCGCTGGGGCGGGGGAGCGGCTGGGGCGGCGGGCGGGAGGGCGAGCCCGGGCGCCGCCCGCGCTGAGCGTCCCCTGTGCACTGCCCAGGCCGGCGGCGCTGTACTGCATGAACGAGGCGGAGCTGGTGGAGGTGGCCCTGGCCGTCCTGGCCGAGGTGAGCCGGGACCTCCGCGGGTGGGGACGCGGCCCTGGCCGTACCCGAGCACGGCCGGGCGGCAGGGCTCCGGAGGACGGGCAGGGAGCGCTGCTGCCCGCGGCTCCCTGCAGGCCCCGCTCCAGGCGGGTCGGAGGGCACTGCCGGGTGCCTCATGGCTCTCCCGGGCCTCTCGTCCTGTCCCAGCCGGCGGGCCTGGGGCCTGGCGAGGCGCGGCTCAGGGCATGGTGGGCTGCCCTCCTACTCCTTGGGGTGCTCGCGGCCTGAAGTCACGCACGGCCGGCCTGTTGTTTTCCCTCTGGTCGGAATCCACAGTGCGAGGAAAGTGAAGAGAAGGCCCGGTCCAGGAGCGAAGAAGAACAGGAGCTCCCACCAACACCAAACGAGGCTCCTGGAAGCACGGCCAACACGGATGGAGGCAATGACCACGGTCCGGCATTTCCATCCTCTCCTGGTGCTGGTGCTGACGCAGAGAGGACAGGCGGGGAGGACTCTGAGGACGATGTCCTGAAATACGTCAGGGAGATCTTTTTCAGCTAACATCTTCTCTCCGAATTCCCCGGAGAAGAGGGCACAGTGGGGAGCGTGTCTCCTCCCGCGGCCCTGAGAGCGGTGGGAGGAGGGACTGGAGGGGGCTGTGCATCCATCTGCTGTGTTGGTGCCCTGTGTAGCTGGTAGGATACCCATGAAGGCCACAGGGACAAAGGAAGGAGGTACACAGTTCTCCCACCCTGTGCTGGGCTCAGGGGGATTTGGGTCCAGATGTGTTAGTTTCTGTTCCACATTTCAGAGCATGGACAGATTAAAGAGGACATTTGGATTTCTGTGAGTATCCCTTTGGTGGGTTGTTGTTGGGCATGGAGGGGAGCAGGGAGGTGCTGACCTGGAAGACCTTTGCTGGCAGAGCGACATGGTCCTGGTTCAGCCTTGGGGGCTCCCTTGTCCTTGTGGTTCCTGTCACAGCTGCAGTGGGGCTTGCTGCTGAATTTGCCTCCAGTCTCTTGCAGTCCTCCCAATGCTGAGGAAGACGTGCAGGAGCAGCCTGGCAGGGGCCGGCACTGCCCAGAGGAAGCTGACCCCATGGCAAAGTGCATGGGGGTCTAGGAAGGGATGAAGATGGCTCAGTATCTTCTTCCCAATCCAAAAAAGGGACAAACAAACCACCTGAGGCCAGGTGTGAGAGCATGTATTGAAATGAAGAATTGGTCAAATCAGCATCACCAGCCTCATCCTCACCAAGGCTGAAACAAGAAAACAGACCCTCATGTCCCTTGAAACAAATTCATTCAATAACAAAGGATATCACTGTTAAGCAGGTGTTCTTTATTTGCATAATTTCTCCCAGCCACTGGATGAATTCATGCAGTTTATATTTACAAGGCTGTTACATATTTACTGCACAGACCAATCAGTAACATAAAATGCCTATTTTGAAAAAAATAAATGAAGTTAACTATTTCAGCCTTCTCTGCCATCTAGTGTCCTTTAGAGGTTATTACAACCCCTTTGGGGGTTTTGTTGGTCGTTCCATCGTCTTCCTCACTTGTCCTTTTATTGCACTTTCTTAATTGGTGCATGCTCAGTCTGTTACCTTTTCAAACTACAAAACTGGATCTTTCTGGTGTTATTTCTGTGTTGTCCTAGTAGCTTTCTTCACAGATTTGAAGGTTGGTTGGCTGCTTATTTATTTTAAGTGATATATCCTGTCTGCTTACAAAGAAATTACCTATTTGGTTACATTTTCCTGAACATTTGTTAGTTCCTAGTTAAACATAATCTACAGATCCTGTTTTTAAACTCCCTTTATCTTTGTTACATGGTAGGGCAAAAGGTGTTAAAAGCATTTTGTTAGTTACAGGTATCACATCCTGTGTGATCCTATGAGATACTAGCAACGTTTTTACCTTAGACTAGGCATGGTCTGAGGGCTGTGTCCATTGTGTGCTGGTTCTGCTACCTTCACTGCTCTTTGGGGCCAGAAGTGCTGTCACTTTGATGCTGTGCCCCAAACTGAGTTTTTTACGCACTGTTTTACCTCAGAAGTTTCTGTGCTTTGGCTGCTGGTGTCTGCTACCAGCTTGATGCAGGAGTGCTGCACACAGCAATGTGCCAGAACATGGCTTGACATGAGCCTTTGGACTGGGAATCAGATTTTTTCTAGGAAGTAAATCTGTATTTGGATGACTATTTTAAATCATGTTACCAATAGCTCTTGCATTCACTGTCAAATCTTAGTGGGCAGGGCCTCCTCAGTTAGGTGGCTTAGGCAATGTTTTGCTTGGCCCACCTGAGGTACACAATGGCAGTGAGAATTTGGAGCAGTAGCAGAACCAGACTCGCAAGCAGTGCCGGGAAGCCTCCAGTGAAATCGGAGAGATGAATCCACCGTGAGGTTTGGAAAAGAAATATAGCCAGGCCTACAAACAAGATTATCATCTCGGTGAAGGCTATGATGCCGATCCACTTCCATTCCCCTCTCTGCCATGGGCAATTCATAAATAAAAGATAAAGGATGTGGAAGGGGATGGGGACCAGGGAGGCATACACACAAACCAAGGCTAGTTCCATTCCATGTGGACTGATGCCCATTGCCTGTAGATGGTTGCTGTCCAGGCACTGCAGCTCCCCAGCTGAATCATTCCACAGGCAGAAGTTGTAAAAGCCAATCCATTTGTCAGGGAGGTTCACCAGGTTTCCAGCTTCATACAGCAGTGCGTAGGTCATCAAGGCCGTGGTCCCAACCATCTCCAGTAAAGTCAGCACACAGAGCAGGTTCTCGTTACACCTCTGTTGCAGCAGACCCATCCTTCTGCCTGCATTGTTTCTTGCTACCATAGTGTGGGGATGCCTGTTGCAAAACACGAAAGGGGGACCCCTCAGTTGTTGCCCTTTATGGCACCCTTCCCAAGATGGGTTCTGAGCCTTACAGCTGGGGTCTAGGGACTCCCTTGCAAATAGGAGTGTCTCAGTCCTGCCTAGGACTGCGCTGCATATATGTTAGTAGGTTAATGCAAAGGTGCATTTGGTGCACTTTTGGTCACAGCAAACATGGCTTAATGATGTCCTGTGTGTAGACCAGTACAGGGAGGAGTGTATGACTCAGGCCCACACATGCCCTTTGCACTATGGTCTCACTGGAAAAGGCATTTGTCAGCAAACTGCAGGGACAGGAGGAGAGAAAAACTGCTGTCTGGTAAGACGCAGGATAAGATAAGAGATAGGATAAGAGCTATTCTGGGATAATGCCTCTCAGTTTTTATCAGACAAGGACATCCCTTGTGATCTTTGGACTACTGAGTAAAGTGCAGACATGACAGCATCTGAGCTGCAGGGCTCCCCTTGCCTCCCTGCTCTTGTCCTCTAGCTTTGGGACACCCTGTGCCATTGATACCAGCCATTTCCAGCATCTGAGCTCCACATGCAGGTCCTTGCACGCCTGTAGATTTCTGAGCACAGCAGAAGTGAATACCTTCAGCTCTGCTACCCACTGAGGCTGGCAGACATGGTGCTGCTCCTGTATTGGTTGCCTGGGGACCAGTCCCCTACACAGACAGACAGGTGCCCAGCTCAGAGAGGCACCCTGGATCCACCTGCAGCCACTCACCTTCCTCTGAAGCCCAGGGACATGGGTGCTACTGAGAAACACCTGTGATTGCCATCTACCTTGCTCCTCTCTCAGAGTTTGCCAATCTGCCTGGCAAACCTGACTCTGCTCGTTTCCCTGGAATGTGTACTGTCCTCAGTGCCCTCTTGAAGGCTTCTGCTTCACACTGAAAAACAGGGAAGGGCATTGGGAAAGGGTATCCTTGGCTTCAAGCTCAGCCTCAGGCTTGAGGCTTTGCAAATAGCTCTTCCTCCTTTTGACAAGCTTTATCTGCTGAGAATCATTTCCCACTTTCCTTCAAGAAGTTCACATGGCCTACCACTACCTATTACCCAATGATATATCATTCTTCAATCCTGTGTGGGCCATTTACTTAAGAATTTGACTCTGAGTCCCTTCCAGTTCCGACTAGTCTGAATCTGTGATATCCTGGGTGTCCTCCTAGACCATCACCCAAAGCTGATTGTGAATTTGGTACAGCCTGTGAGTTTTTAAAGTGCCAGGAGAGACTCCACTCAATCTGTACTCAGCACCTGGTGGTATTGCTGGTGACCTTTCATCATCCCCCTCCTGCTCCTTCTCTCCCTGGAAACTTGGAAGTGGGGCACCTCTGTTAAATGAGCACAGAGATGAAGCTTCTCAGTCCTAAACCCCCTGGAGCAGCACACACATGGAAGGGGGGCAGGTGTCACAGCATCAGACACCAACCTGTCCACTTCCTCTGGTCACTTTTCCCTCACTTCTTGTAGGATCCCTTGGAAGGTTTCTTCACAATAGGCTTCTGGAGAGACTGGAAGGTCACATGGAGGTCACTTGCCCATTGTTCTGAATCTGCAAGGAAGACACAAGCAACCAGGAGAATATCTATGCTTGGGCACAGAGTGTGCTGCAGAATGAGACCTCCAGCAGATGTAATTTCACCATGGTTTGTCTTTCCTGTAGTATTGCCCCTTGGTTTGCCTGTCTCACGCATGGTCTCCTGCACCCAGGCTTTGCTGTTCCTCCTCTCCCAGTTCCGGAAGGGCTCGCACCACTCTTTGTTCTCCCTGCTGTCCTGCCTCGAAACCCTCAGAGGAAGAACAAGCTGCACTTGGAGGGAGCTCTTGGCTGGCTGACCAGGTCTCCAGGGATTTCTGTTAGACCTCAGGGCTGGGACCACAACAGCCCAGCCAACTCTTGGCCCTTTCCACCCACCCACCCACCCACCCACCCTCGCTGTCGTATTTATTTAGACCAGTTATTAAGGAAGGCAGGCTTGTAGAAATGTGGCTTTTTGTTCAATAATCTCACACTCACTCCCTTGGTGTCCATGGAATATAAAAGCTATTAAAAATTGTCCTAGTTGCACATGTTTGCTAGAGAGGGGACAGAGAATTAAATTCCTATCAGGTTTGTGGTAACATATGGCAGGGTTGGAGGACAGCCACCTCAGAGACCCTGTGCTGCTGTGTGGTTTCTGCATGCAGGAGGATCTGGAGAAAGCGCATGGTAGGTATCTCTGCCCTCTCCTCTGCTTTGTGACCCATGTGTGTAAGGACATATTTTCCCAGCGATGTCACCCTCTTTACTGCCAAATTGCTGGCATCTTTGCCTCCTGCTGCCTCCCCTGCCCAGCCCAACCCAGTAGGTAAATCCCTGTCCCTACATGTGACGGGACCAGAAACATGCCTGGGATGGCCCTGTGCCAATAGAGAACTCTTGACTGGCCTGGAGGCTGTGAAGGCTGAGACCTGGCGCCCTGCCACAGTGCAGCCACAGATAGGACATTTGTGAGCTCTGCAGCTCATCCCTGAGGCAGGTTTGACAGCAGCCTGGATGAGAAGCAAGTGGCAAACAGGAAAGAGCTCTCACCCAGTGTACAGCTTGGGTTTTTCCCAGACAGCAGCAGCCTTTCTGCTTCTAAGGAGTTGTCTGTGCCTTTGGGTGGGAGACTCTGTGGCTCTTCCTCAAAGGTGCAAGAAAGAGGAACCTGAACATGGCACAGCGAGCCCCAGCCTGGATTCAGCCTCCTTGTTCCTGGATTGGCATTGATGGAAGCACTGGTTTCACCATCGGAGAGCTCTGTGTCCCCGGCAGAGAGAGGCCCCATGTGAAAGGCTCAGGAGCTCCCTGAGGTCTTTGTATGGGAGATAAGGCTCCTAGGCACCCTCTGTGCTTTTGGGACTGCACAGCCCTTTCCTCTGCTGCTCACAGGCAGATGGGCAACCTTCCCAGGCTGAGGCTGTGCTTTCCTCCAGAAAGCAGCTGGCGGAGTGCCTGGGTAAGGGGACAGGAGGTCGACAGGAATCAGACCTTTCTATATTGTTTTCGTAATTTCTAGCCCTTTTCCCAGGCAAGTAACTATAAACATAGGTGTTTATACATTCCATTAAAGATATACCTTTTGATGAACGTCTCTCGTGACCAGTGTGGTTAAGAAAGTGGTAACCTGACTATCCAATCCCTGGTCATTGTGAAAAACCTATAAATACTGACAGAACAAATAAATGCGTTTTCTTCTTTCACCACACCTCGAGTTGCGTCCGTGTGAATAATTTTGTGTATGACAGTAGCACAGGAAGGCAGAGCTCTGTCACAGGGTCTGGCCTCTGTGCAGGGACAAGCACCTCTGTGGGATGCCACTGCAGTGGGGCTGAGTGCAAAGGGGCAAGGGAAGGGGCATTTCCTTTGCACTGAAGAGCCCTGCAGATGACATTCCCACGTCCCCTCTCCCTGGCTGCTGAGGGGAGAAATGCTGTACAAGAGTGATGGGAAAGTGTCAAGCTTTAGACATGATGCTTTTCCTTCAAGACATCGGTCCTGTCCCTTCACCACCTCCCCACCCCAGCTATCCGGATCATCTTTCCTCCTCAGGCAGGATTAGCTGCAGAGAAACCATGGGTGAAGAAAGGCCACTGACAAGCTAAGGATTGCTGGTAAACAGAAACCAACCAGTGGCAAATGGAACAGACTGCAGGGGAACTGCCCTTAAAGCGTCTTACAGCAGGTGAAGAAGCCTCCAAGACATCTGCACCTTGCAACACCACTTCTCCTGGCACTTCTCCCCAGTGCCAGCGACATTAAAAAAGTGAGGATCTCAGTGGAGGATACTTACAGGCTGCCCATTTGGCTGGGTGTGGAGCTGAACCACGCTGGAGAGGGCTGTGCTGCTGTTCTAGGAGCCAAGCGGGTTTGCAGCTGCTGCCGGTCCCGTTCTGGCTGTTTGCTGTCACCACAGCCTGTTTTGTCACGTGCAGATACTTATCTGCTTTCTCTTTCGGTTCTGAGGGCCGTGCTCTTTCCTGATACCGAGTTGGTTGCATGTGACCAAGAAAACAAACCAAGCCCAGCTCCTCAATCTGAGCCAGGGTCAGGCTTGCGTTTCCTTTCCCTCTCCCGGCTGTGCTGACCAGCATGAATAACTGACTGGGCTAAGCTCACCCAGACTGTTGTGCTATTAGAGTAGCATGGGTGTCCATGAAGCCTTAGATGAATTTGTTTAGTTTTTTTGACACTTCTTTAGAGGTGACTGACTATCCCAGCATGGACCTCAGTCCTTCAGCACTGCCGGAGTTCACTGCCAACACGGCCCTTCCTGCACTTTGGACACTGATCCCCACCTCTGCTTCCCAGACACAGCGTGGCTCAAGTTCCCTCGCCTGCAGCCACCGTGCTTACACAGGCACAGTGCAAGGTGTCAAGGTGCCTGCTGCTGCAGGGAACCACTAAAACCTCGAGTTATGTTAGGGGCAAAGCTTCCTTCAGTCCTCCTGGGCAGATCTGGAACTGTTTGTCCTACTAGCAGTCTTGTGGTGGGTCTGTAGGGAGGGCTGTGTGTTGGGGGTTGCTGCATGTAGGACACCTAGCCATGAAGCTGTTCACAGATTTTCACCCAGTGATTCCATGTTTAGGCACAGTCTAGAAATCTCCGTGTGGTACACATGTTTTGAGCCTGTAATACTGGCACTCACATCCAAGAGCACAAAGTGAAGAGAAATATGGAAGTCCTAAGAGAAGCTTGGTGAACAGAGACGTGCAAGTGGTGGTGGGGGGATGCCTTCCTGTGTGCCTTTGTGTGTGGAATAACTTGAGCGTGGAGAGGTACAAGGATTTGGATCAAGGGAGTTCAGATCACAGGTGGCTTAGGCAGGGGTTCTGGTGGGTGAAGACAGAAATCCTGCTGCAAATGAAGCCCAGCAGTCCAGAGCTGCTGAGCTGAAAGTGGAGAAGGAAGCTTTGGGGCCATCTTCTAGCATTGAAGCTGATGGCTGGGAGACTGAGGAATAAGAGACTTCTGAGGCAAGACCTCTGTTCCAGTGAAGTAACATGCTTTGGCAGGAGGCATGTTTGTGCTTCCAAGAAGCAGGGTCACACAGTTTGGCAATGTGCTGTTCATTTTTTCTGTCATTCGGGGAGAAAAAGGGTTTATAATTTTGATCTGGTGATCAACCAACTCCTTAGCTGATCTTAGCACCACAAGTGAAGCTGCTGTTTCACTGCCATGGGCTGAAGGCACAAGCAGATCCTTCAAAAATATCCTCACTTTCACACTGGGGTCCTGTTTGCTGGGATAATCAGGATGATTGCCACAGTGGGTCTGCTCCATCATGCCAGAGTATTTCTCCCTGGAGCCACTGTCCCCCTAGAGGGATGGCTGTTTTAACACCATACACCATGTAACCTGACATTGCTTCCACTGGGCACACACCTTTCTTTTTTGGCCTTTTTCCCCAAGAGAAGATCCCTGTTCAGCCAAGCTGGTCTGCTGCCTCATCTGCTTGATTTCCAGCATTTTGGAATTGCTGGCTACTGTGCCCTTAGGAGGTGATGTTTAAAAAGCTTAAATGTGTAAAATACACCATTTGGGAATGTTACTCTTGGAGTGTGGCATCTCACTGGCCAGAGCTGGTTGCCTGAGGAGCCCCTTGTCTCCTCCCCAGCAGGGTCTCAGTCTCTGCTGCTTTTAATGCCTCCTGGGATGCCATAGCTGCCAAAAGGGAGAAGTCCAGTCAAAATTTGACTCAAGACTTGCCCTTAGTCCCAGCTGACCTTCTGATTCTGGAGGCTTCCTTCCACACCTTTGGCTGCCTTTCTAGCTGGTAGTTCCCCTGCCTTCTCCTTCCAAGGTGTTTGGGCAGGGAACATTGTGCCCAAAGGCTGGGCAGGATGCAGTATGCCTTTCCATTCTCCTTCCTAGGGACATTTCACAGGAATGCTCTGACTGCCTCATGGGCTTCCAGTGCCAAAGTCCATCTGATGATGGAGTGTTTGGGAAACCTAAGTCTGATGGGGTTGGGGTGAGCAGGGGAATGGTCATCTACATGTCTCATGGAGAAAGAATGGGAAGGGAGAGGAGAATGAGAGCAGGACTTCTATTTATGTGTGCCTGGAGGTAGGAGAGATTGGATGGAATATTTGGGCTGCTGGGTCCTGTTTTCTGTGGGTGGGAAAGGACAGCATGTTTCAGGAGCCAGCTTCTACTAAATTCCTGTGTGAGCATTGCTTCCTGGAATTGTTTCTTGAAATAGATACCGTTTTTTGGTGTGCATTAAGAAGGTTTATGTGGCTTTAAAGTGGAATTAACTGCTCTGCAGTTCTTGATTTCTCATTGTGCAGTTAAAGCAAACACTCAGCAGTTTAGTAATATTAGCAATCACAAGGAAAGCATGAGATGAAGTGGGACTTTCCAAAATTTTCTGCTTATTTTACCCTTCTGTTTTTAAAATAAATTACAACACCTTATCCCATATATGATTCTGTGGGATAATACTCCAGTCTGTTTATAAAACACAGAAACAAAATATTAAAAGCCAAGATATTAATTTATTTGTTTGATAAATTTCCTCTAAGTGATGCCAATTCTGGGAAAGCCTAGAAGAATGTGATATGTTACATTTCTACCCTTGGGTACTGTACATAATATCTAGAAATGAAATCTGCAGCTGGGGAAGGAAGTGTCAAGCCTGCAAAAACATTTAAAGAGACATTATTAATCTCCTCTCTGGCAGGCAAGCTCTTACTGATCATAACACTGCAATATACTCAACTGTACCATACTTAAGCTGTACTTGAACTCAGCTGGGCTGCCTGTCCCATGGAAGACAATTACAGCTGTAATGACCTGTGCCCAGACTTAGAGGCTGGGAGAAGTGGTCTCCCTTTTAACTTCATCTCTCCCTCCATACTGTGGGTGGCTGATAAGTCTTTTTTCTCAAGATCTGGATCTCCAGAGCCTTGGCTGGTGTGACAGGCACAGCCCCTGCACGGATGGCAGGTGGGCACCACGTCCTCAAGTGCCTAAATCTGTGCTGCAGGCCGGGTCCCTGGGCTCTCTCTCTCAGCATGACCTGACCCAGCAGATGTGTCTCACCAGCTGGACATGGGCCAGGTTAGCTGCAGTTGGCTTTAGTGCTGCACTGCACGTACCTCACCTCACAGAAGCGCTGGGTGAGGCCCAGGATCAACAGGTGGATGAAGCAGGTCTGACAGTGTACGGAGTGGTGTGTCCCTTAAGAAACAAATAATATTTACATTTTTAAACACCTTTTATTCTTGGCAAAGAGGTGGCTTTTACAGCTGATATTGAATTTTAATATTTAACCCAATGAGCACATTATTACAAATGCATGTACCTTACTGCCAATAGGGGAAAATATTTTTTAACCTCTCTGGGACTTGCCTTGGGTTTATTTTTTCTCCAGTGAGATTGCTGTCAATCAGTCAAATCAAACCAACAATTGCAAATAAACATAATAATCACAATGCCAGACGGAGTACACATAAGAAAGCTGCTCAAGGTTGAATCCCTTATCTGTTCTTTTAAAATATTTATGAACCTGGATACAAACATTTATTGACAAGGGAGTTCACTTCCTACTCAGAATGGTTTGTTTATTTTCAGTCTGGGAACCTGGACAGCTATTCTTTCTCAGTAGTATTAATTGCCACTGCTCTGTTTTTCATATGTTTGAGCTTCCAAAAAGAAGTATTGGCATGAAATGCAAAAAGCTCAAGAAATGCTGGTCTGCCTCTTGAACCAATATTAATTAATGAACCAGCATTAATAAATCAGTCAGCATTATAAAGTTTATGTACATAAAGAAAAATATTACCCATTGAAATATCAATGTGACTTCTTTACAGAGAACAGTTTGCTTTCTCTAGCTAACACTAAGAGTCCTCCTGTTTTACATCTTGGGGCCATATAGTTTTCTAGGCTGAATATCAGCAAAATGTTGTAGAGGGCTACATACAGCTCCAGCCTGATGTCAAAAATTCTACTGCAGCTGTGATATTCCTTGCTGTTCACCTTTTTTCAAATGCTTTTAACAACTTTCATCAAGATCAACAGCAAAAATTTTGTTAAGTCTTTTGATCTAATAAACTTACTTAGTCACTGAGGTAGATCCACATGGGAAAATGAACATAATCATGAGAGGAAGAGAATTAAGAAGTTTCTTGAAAGGATTGTGATCCATTTGATAAACGGTTGTTATTTAATTTACACAGTAACAGCATCACCCTGACATGTTTTGCTTCTGGTACATGTCCAGCAAAAGAACTTTATTCATTGCACGAAAGGTGTATGAATGCAATCCATAGAATTTCATTGCATGAAAGATGTGTTCACTTATATTTTAGCACCAAAATGACAGAACAGGACCTAGTGAATCTCGACCTGACAAAGTTTTGCAATGTATACTGGTGCTTATAGGTCTTGGCAAGCATAACCTTACAGGGTCAGGCTCTTAGGTGGCCTAAATGGTATTCAGTCCTGAACATCTCCTCTGCTAAATTTTCTCTTTTTCTGTTGTTTATTTACAGTATTCATGTCACAAACAGGAACCAACAATTTCCAGGAACTATTTTTGTTGGCTAAATTTCATCCCCAAGCTTTCTAAAAGTCATTCACTCACAAGAGTTTGCTTTACATATCTATGGGAAACCTCTTGAGTAATATAATGTCAATCACAGGCACCAAAGAAACGAACACCAAGTAAACAAGGAGAAAAACATGCTTCAACACTGTTTGCCTCAGCAAAACAAGTAAATATAGGTTACAGGAAAATAAAATGTCTCTTTGTCCTCCTTTGAAATCACTCTTTTAAATCTGAGGCAACATTTGTCTATGAGCTTAGATTAGATGTAGGCAATGGGCCTTTAGTGACACTGTGATGACTCTTCTGCATGTGTGAGAGGAGGACACAGCTCCTGAACACTCTG